TAGATGTCCACACCGCTACAGGAACAACAATGATAAAAACCAAGTGGCAATGCCATGACCTACTGAACTTGGAAACAAAAATGACGACAACCACAACAACAACAACAACAACAACAACAACAGCAACAACAACAACAACAACAACAACCACAACCGAAACCAAAACTTAAGCCGCAACCGCAACCACAACGACAACGACAACCTCAATCACAACACACCCGACCACAACAACCCCGACCGCAACCACCACCGTAACCGCAACCCAAAATCCAACATGTTATGACAGTCACCGAAACACAGGGAAGAAGCCTGCAAGTGCAGCCGTGCGGCTGGATGCCATGCTGTGGCCCCATACAGGAACTTCTGCTCGCCGGAATCCCAACTTGTCCCCGAGTCACTGCGCTGATCAGCGCGCCTCAACTCGGCTTCGGTTGGGTGGGTCTGAGAAAGGCAGGATGAGCCTGAGTGTGTGGAAGGGCTCCCTTAGCAGAAGAATAACAAGCTTCGGCTCGAAATGGTTTCAGAATGGAATAACCGGGTAGAAACGTGGCAGGCCCCTGTTGCCGAAAGAATGCCAGAGGATCGGAAACCGGTAAAAGCACATGGCTGTGGAAAAAGCTGGAAAAAGCCAGGTGGACCGCGGCGGGGCTACAAAGATTCAGAATCTGCTCCGGGCGAGGCATGCTCTCCACTCGTCAAGAAAATCTCAGACATGACTTGGCTTCCTGATCCCAACAAGCACAGAACCCTGCCACGCACATGTGGGTAGTTGTCAAAATTATGGTCCTTTTTTGGGGTACCCTAAATAATAGGTGCCGTATTATAATAAGGACCCAAAAAAAGGGACCATAATTTTGACAACCACCCATGTGCTACGACACTCGTATCCGCAGTGGAAGTAGCAGCAGTGCTGCCACTCCCACTCTTGTCGCCACATCAGTACGGCTACGCCACGTACGCCAACAACTGAGAATACTACAAAGGCTGGTACTACTTTTACAACTCTACTGCTGCCACTACTGCTACTACTGCCACTACTACGACTACTACTCCTCCTGCTACTGCTAGTATTATTACTACTGTTGCTACTGCTACTGCTACTGCTACTGCTACTACTACTACTACTACTACTACTACTACTGCCACTGCCACTGCCACTACCACTACCACTACCACTACCACTACCACCACCACTGACACCACCACTGCCACTGCCACTGCCGCTGCCACTGCCACTGCCACTGCGCAACGATGTTTACTACTTCCGTTCCACAAATCTCAATGGAATCACCACAACCCAACCGCCGAGAGTACGAATACTACAGAGACGGCAACTATCCTAAACCCGAAACCCAAAACCTTAGCATTGCGGCACATGCCGGGGCCAGGGTACCGTAAACTGTCCCGTTTGCTTTATCCATGGACAAAGGCCTGAACATTGGTTTCTCTCGGTGATGAGGTTGAAAGTGGAGTGCGAAGTAGCTTCATTGGGAAGTTCTCTAAATTAGTGTCAATTTTTAAGGCTCCAAAATGGTACGGCACCCGAAAAGAAAAGGACCCAACAAGGGACCCTGATTTTGAAAACTACCCACCTGTGGCCTGCTAACTCGGTCATCCTGCAAGCAGTGCATGTGCAGCCTGCTTTGCGGCTTTTGGGATTTGTCATCAGAGCTTCTTGTCATGTAGCCGATGTTTCTGAATATTTCGGAAGGTTATGAGTCACTGTGCGGAAAATTTTTATGTTGTGAAGGCAACCCGCAACTTCCAAAGGCTCTCATGGCTGGGGAAGACAGACACCTGTCAAACTTGGCCTATCTGGCAACCCTAGACCCTAAACCCTAAACCCTAAACGCTAAAACCCTAAACCCCAAACCCTAGACCCTGAAACCCTAAACCCTAAACCCTAAACCCTGAACCCTAAACTCTAAACGCTAAAACCTTAAACCCCAAACCCTAGACCCTAAAACCCTAAACCCTAAAACCCTAAACCCTAGACCCTAAAACCCTAAACCCCCTGAGCTGATAGCTCGAGTTTGGGGCTGGTTGCCGATTTTACCCCGAACTGCAGCAGCTCTAACCCAGAGACTCCAATACCCCTTAATTAAGGAATATACCTTAAATCTTATTAGGGATCCTACTATAATTTAAGGTATATTCCTCAATTAAGGGGTATTGGAGTCTCCGGGAAGCTAAGTCTGACATGTAGGGGTCTTAATAATTAGAATAGGGAATTGGGGGTTTAGGGTTCAGGGTTTAGGGTTTAGGGTTTAGGGTTCCTTAGTGTAACTATAGTAGAGTATACCACAAAGCCTACCTTAATTACCAAGGCCCCTCTATGAAACGGATTCTGTTTTCGAATATTTGAGGCTCAGGGTTCATCGCTGGGCTTCAGAAACTGTTCCAGCAGTGCCTCGTACCTGAAAACCGGGAAGCCCGAAATCCCTAAACCCTACACCCTAAACCCTAAACCCTAAACCCTAGACCCTAGACCCTCGGCCCAAACAGGAAAGCCCGACATCCCTGATCCTGCATGCCGTAGGAAACCTCGTAAGATCCCATGAACCGGGACAAGGATAGAGAATCTCGGAAAAAAACGTCATCAGATCCTAGAAAGCCCTGGAAACACTAAAACCCCGCAACAAGCAAAAACAGAAAAAAACAAAAAAACTAAGACGACTGGTCTCGCCTGGAGCACGTGCTGTCGGCGTCGGTGGAGGAAGAGGGGGAGCAAGATGAGATCATGGTATCTGGGTTTGGGCTTCGGCTAGGGTTTAAGGGTCCTTCGAAGGGTTGCTTCGAGGATTCTATAAGGGCTCTTTTCAGGGTTCTAGCAGCGGCAGTCATACAAATGAAGAGAAAGACAGTAAAGTCACCAACAACAAGATGAGCGACTCTTCTCAGAGGATCAGCCCACGAAGCTGAAATGATTAAGGTTCTCGGAATTGCTGCCTATCGGAAGGCGCGTGGTTCTACAAAGGTTGTCTAGGGCTCTATGAGGGTTCTGCGAGTTTTAAGATTTAGGGTTCGCGGGGACAGATTTTGGGCTTCGGGCTTTGGCTTCTGTCGACCAGGGCTCAAGATGGATTTCATTTAGGGTTTAGGATTTAGGAGTTTGGGGTTTAGGGTTTGGGTTTAGGGTTTTGGGAACCGAATCTGCACTCTACGAGTCTGCAGGGGAGCAGAAATTACTTCAACGACGGCCAAGGCCTACACACTGAACCCCCAACCAGTTCGTGCTGCCGCACCATGCGTTTCCAAAAAAAACCCTGCCTAACAGCTGCGGAGCTTTCAAGGCGCCCCGGGTCTTTCCGTGAGAGGGCATCCTTCAACCTTGAACCCGGACCCTAAACCCCCCCAACCAACAAACACACCAAGTGCCCCAATTAGAATGCCCAGGACATATCAGAATTTCATCCACTGCCCCCTGTAAGTGCAGCATTCTGGGCTCAAAGAGGTGTTGGAGCCACTGCGGCTCCAACCAGGCTTCTTGCTATCGGAGACCTGAGGACAAGACTGGAAAAATGATGCTTTGAAGGCTCATCCTACGAGAATCTAGAGGTTCTTGAAACGGGTCTGCGAGGGTTCTCTAAGTCTCGAAGTATCACGAAAGTTAAGGCGGTTGAGTTGGGCTGGCGAGGTTGCTGACCTTTCATGTTGCACTTCCGCCTTCCATGCCTTTTTATTACGGCATGGAAGGGCGAAGGGATGTCAGCTTGCCAGATTCGAAGCGCACGCAACACTCACACAGCAGGAATCAGATAGACCTGTGACCATGGTCTGGATACCGCTCGTCCTATTTTGTTGCCTACTTCGGGTGATCTGTAAGGGGCAACCGGTTCCCTGCGCATGCCAAGCTCTACGGTGTTTCTGCCCAGTTTGAAGCACTACCAGCCCTAAAACCTAAACCCTAAACCTCAACCCTAAACCCTAAACCCTAAATCCTAAACCCTAAACCTTAACCCCTAAGACCCTCAGTTGGAAAGGGAAGGCCGGCTCAAGGGAGTATGGAAGTTCAAGCA